GTTAGCCTCACCTCTACCCTTGGCAAGACCTTTGAGAAAATTTTTAAAGAAAACATTTGTGGGGGACTAGCGGGTAAAATAATGCTAAGGGGCAACCACCGTGGGTTCATAACAAGCAGAACCTGCCTGACTAAGCTAGTTTCTTTTTACGACCGGGTCACAAAATGCTTGGACGAAGGAATAGGGGTAGATGTTATTTCCTTAAATTTTTAAAAAGGGCTTTGACACAGTGTCGCACCCAATTGTTATAACTAAACTAAACAGTTGCAATGTAGATTATTACACAGTCCGGTGGGTGTAAAATTGGCTTATGGGACGCACCCAGAGAGTGGTGGTGGATGGGTCAGTTTCTATCTGGAGAGACGTGGGCAGCGGAGTCCCCCAAGGCTCTGACCTGGGGCCGATACTGTTCAATACCTTCATTAGTGACTTGGATGAGGGAGTAGAAAGCACTTAGTTCAAGTTTGCAGATGACACCAAACTATGGGGGAAGGTACACAAACTAGAGGACAGGGAGTGAATCCAGGTAGATTTGGACTTGCTGGGGAAGTGGGCAGAACAGAATAGGATGCAGTTTAACAAGGATAAGTGTCATGTGTTGCACCTGGGAGGAAAAATCATCAACACTCCTCCAGTCTGGGAGGGACCACTCTAAGTAGCGCAACTGCGGAAGGGGATCATAGAGTTGTAGTCGACTCCAAAATGAACATGAGTCACCAATGTGATGAAGTAATAAGTAAAGCTAACCGCACTCTTTTTTGCATAAGTAGGTGCATCACAAACAGGTCTAGGGAGGTGATACTTCTCCTTTATGCGGCATTGGTCAGGACGCAGCTGGAGCACTGTGTCCAGTTTTGGGCACTGCACTTCAGGAGGGATGTTGATAACCTGGAAAGGGTTCAGAGGAAGGCCACCAGTCTGGTTAAAGGCATACAGGAAAACCCCTTCGAAGACGGATTGAGGGACCTGAACCTCTTCAGCCTCTGCAAGAGAAGGCTGAGAAGCGATCTTGTGGCTGTCTACAAACTCATCGGGGGGGGGGAACAGCAGGAAATAGGGGATACGACGTTTACCAAGGCGCCCATTGGGGTAACTAGAAACAATGGCTACAAACTGAAGGAGAGCAAATTTAGATGGGACATAAGAAAAAAATTCTTTACTGTGAGGGTTGCCAAAATACGGAATATACTTCTAAGGGAGGTGGTGCTGTTCCCTTCCTTGGAGGCATTTAAGCGGAGATTAGATAAACACCTGGCCGGGGTCATCTGAACCCAGCACTCTTTCCTGCCCAGGGCAGGGGGTCGGACTCAATGATTTAATAGGTCCCTTCCGACCCTAAAAATCTATGAATCTACCCCCTATCTTCAGCAATTTTCCTGTTTCTTAGCTACCTCTGGTTTCTATTCTCATGTTTCATTGCCTTGTAGACTATTTTCAGCTCTTTGCAAAATCCTAGATTTGCCCATGGAGTCCAGCAGACCCAGGCACCATCTCTGTGTGGTGCGGGGAGGGGAACAGGAATGGAAAAATAGCCATGGATGCAACAGCGACTGATTGCACTGCTGCAATCAGCACTGCAGTAGCTGGCACTGCCCCAGGCCTGCCCAGGGCACAGAGCTGCTCAGCTAAGCCTCTGCTACTGACAATTCAGCTGTGAAACGGTTAAAATTTTACCTTTTGCCTGAGCAGGAAAGGGAGGGTTTGAGAGTTGAAGATTAGGCTCTGTCCCTGCTCTATGCACCCATAACTCTGGAAACATCTTCCCCCCCTCCGATTCTACTTTCCCTAAAACCAGGTGTGTGTAAGGATTGGGTCTCACAGGCTGTCTTGAGGTGAACAGGGGTAAAAAAGTACCTGAACCAAAGGAGGAGATCCACACCAAGGCCAAGGCTACATGAGACAGTCAGAACTAGAGAGTCAAAATCAGTAAGCAATGTGCACATCCATAGACCAGACAGCACCAGAAGTCAGGAACCAGGAAATCCAGAACACAGAAACAGGTTGAGCAGAAGCCAAAAGCCAGGCAAGATTTAGGCGAATAGACAGAGCTGCTGCAAGTTGTCAGACATTAAACTACCAAAGCCCAAATGAAGGGCCTAGTTTATACATTAGGCCCACTTTACTCTGCAGCCAGTGACCTGGACCCTTGCAGCTGGTGCCACTGTGAAACCAGGTGGCCCTGCTGAGAGCGCAGATTGTCTTCTAAAAAACATTGCATTTGTCCAGGGTAAAGCATTTTATCTTTGGACGAAGTGCAATAATTCAGTTGTCCATTGTCTGGGTACAAATCCTAAAAAAAGGCTCACAGGATAAGAAGTATTAACAGTTTATACCAGGACATTACATTGTACATCTTAATGGTTATCCTGGGATTGCATCAATGGCAGAAAAGCAGCAGTGCATTCAGCCACTCACTAAACCCTGATTGAAAAGGTAATGCACGTACCCACAGGAGACAGACAAATAATGGTCTGAAGTTTCAACAAAAGAAAATCTTTGGTCAGAAACAAAGGCTGGAAATCTCTATACGAGTAAGAATCCAAAGTAACTTCAACAAAGTGAGCAGAATGTGTTCTTTTAGAAGAATACGTAACAAAACAGGTTATACTTTTAACAGGAGCTGCTTTGTTCAAATAAATAATAGTGATGTAAGATTTTCATCCATATTATTACTTCTATTTATAGATGGGGAACGGAGGCCTTTCTGTCAGGCCAGGCCTCCCTTGGTCCGCTATCTGGTAGCATGTAAACTAGAACAGCCTGTTCCATGGTCAGGTTGTCAGCAACTAAACTGGTACCCACACCTGGGCTTGCCTGGGTAAGGAAGGTGTGTAGACAACCAGCAGGACTAAAAACAAAACCTATCAAAGGGTGGATGAGCTCCCTGTGAGCCAACAGCCATCCATACCTGGAATGGAGATAGGTGCCACCAGGTCACTCTGCCCAAAGAATCACCAATGATGCAAAGCAACTTAACTAACCTCATTGGAGTAGGGGTGGGTTGTGGCGCTCCAACAGCTGCAGCGGCCCCAGGACTGACTGGATTTGAATACAGGCCTTAAGTTAGTCAGTCAGTACAAAAATTCAGTTTTCCAGCTTCAGTCTGATGGCTTATTCATGCAACAATGATGCCTCTTGATGCCAACACAAGCAGTATGACTAATCAATAGACAGTTCTGACACACCTTTAGTTGAAAGCTGATGTACTAACAATTGGGGTAAAAAAAACCCTCAAGTTCTAATATATATACACACTAATAAGTAATAACTGAGCTTGTCAAATTCTGCTTCTGTGTATTTGATGAACTGCAGGAAGTCAACTACCCACCCCTCTTGGGTGACACTGAATCCCACTGTAAACGGCAAGCTTGACCACCACTGTGAAGTTGACTCATTTTGTTTTAGTTTCTCCTCTAGAAATAGATGTTGGTGTCGGTTTACAGCATCTAAGCAGTGCCCTTTCAAAAAAAGAGGCATGAAATCAATATGCTGTAGGATGAGCACAAAAATATCATGTCTTTCCTCCACTGGATTTGGCAGATATTAGTGCCTAGAGAAAATTTACAAACACATTAAACATTTCTATTCTAGCTGAAGGAGTTATGATGGCCTCAGACAGTGAATTACAGGGGCTTATCTATGTTTTTAATAGCGTATCTTATTGGCAATAAAATTAACAAAACTGCAGCTGCTAAAAACAGATACAGTATTTTCAGCTGGTGGGTTACATTTACCATTGATGTTAGCAGGTGCTTCACTGTGATATTAAGCAGAGTTATGCCTCCTTACACTACAAGTGGATTTGTCCCTGTAGCGAGGGCAGGGGGGCACATCTTCCCAACCCCCATAGTGGCTTCCTTTGATACCCCCATGTCCCAAGACCAGGGAGCCATTTACAGCTGTTTAACCTGTGAGCAATCTTCCATGAGAGTCTGGATGAAAGCTGAAGAAACATACTGGGATGTCTTACCTATTCAGCTATTGTTCCCTGCAGGCGCCTAAGAAACTGAGGCACTTACAACATTTTGCCCACAATATGAGATAGGAAATGGATAACGCCTCCATGCTTGACCCCAGTTCAGATGATGAATGGATCTGTCTCTGATTTGCTGCACAGAATGGTCATAGTCATCTGGTTGTAGAGAAACCTCAGGAACCTGATGTACTTTTCAGAACATCCAAATCTGGCCAGTACTTTCCACAGGGCTTCACAACTGATGGAATCAGAGGCCTTAGTAAGGTCAATGAAGGTCATATACATGTCCTGATGTTGTTCCTGACATTTTTTGGAGGTCTGGTGGGCAACAGAAAACATGTCAGTTGCCCTGTGAGATGGTCTGAAACCACACTGAGATTCTGGAAGGACTTCTTCAGCAAGAGGTAGAAGACAGTTCAGGAGGATGCAGGAGAAGATTTTCACTGCTATGGAAAGGAGGGCAATACCTCGCTGGTTCCCACACAGACTTATCTCCATTCTTGAAGACAGTCTCGAGGTTGGCATTCCCTTAGTCCCCAGGGATCTCTTCATTGTTCCAAATTTGAACAATACATTCATGGAGTCTCAGTACCAATTACTCACCACCAACCTTGTAGATTTCAGCAAGTATGGCATCTGGTCCAGTAGCCTTGTTGTTCTTGGCTCTTTGATGGCATGCCAGATTTCTTCTAGGATAGGAGGGTTGGCGAGGGATCCCCTTTCAGGGTATTGAGGGATGGGCTCAATGCTGGTATCTGTCACAGTGGATTCACAGTTCAGTCGTACCTCAAAATGCTCTTTCCATTTAGCTTGGATAGTTTTATTGTCTTTGAGGGGTGTTGAGCCATCCTGTGATTGCAGGAGAGTAGGACTGTGAGAAGACGGGGTGTGGATGGCTTTCATTACCTGGAAAAAGCTACACACATCACAACTGTCAACATAGAGCTGGACCTCCTTGACTTTATCTTGCCACCACTGATTTTTGAACTTTGGCTTCAAGGAGCTGATGCGTTTCTTCCTTCAGCTGAGATGAGGTGTCATCTTGCTAAGCAGAATGAGCCCTTCTCTTCTGGCTTGGATCTCATCATCACTCTCATCAAGCCAGCCTTGGAGTCAACAGGTGATATAGCCAATGGGTTCAGCACAGGCCATATGGTTTAAACCCCCTTCCAGAGTTCTTCACTGTTGCCTTCCTTCACAGACCAGGCATACAGCTTTTCATGAAGACACTATTGGAGATCCTTACCGACCTTCAAGTCTTGAAGAGATTTGGTGCTGAGAATCCTTCACATTGCTTTTGGCTATTTTCAGTGTTTCAGAGCAAGCTGGGCTTTCATAAAGGATCTGGCAAGATGGTGATCTTTCCAGCAGTCATTGGTTCCTCACATGGCTTGTGTGATATGGACATCCATTTGATCATGGGCTCTAACTAACAGTCAAGGAAGTAAACAGCTTCAAGCAAGGGTGTCTCAAGGTGGTCTTGGACTTAATCACAGGCTTCAGTACTTTGCTGAAACAAAGCCTTTTTGTGACATACTGAAGCCAGAGTCAATGCATCTTGGTGCCATGTTGGAAGAGAAGGAAGCTACTTATCATGGTGCCTCCTTGTTAAAAAAGAAATAGCATTTGCCAGACCACCACAGTAGGAACTGAGATACCCCAGGTTTCCCTTGCATTTAGAATAGAAGTAAAAGTCATAAACGAAAATGCCAAAAGGATTCCATTTCTATTTCCAAAGGAAATTAGTGATAGAATCAGTCCTATTTAATGAAAGTAGAAAATGAGATAGCTGTATTTGATACCAAAGCTTATACTAACAATTCCATAACCAAACCACTAGTGCCAGGGATGACTGCAAGTTTCACGTTGAAATGCCCACGATAGCACTTCACTGGAGGACAGTGGAGTGAAACTGGGGCAATTTGTCAGACAGTTGCTGGAAGCCTGGATTCATTTAAATGAATGACGAAGTCTTGCTTGACTCCAGGTAGGTCAGGATTCCATTTACTGACTCCTGGCATCTCTGGGACACCATCTGTTATCTTGCAAATTTTTCCCTTTTTCTTTTGCAACAGAAAACGGCTGGAGGTGTGCTCTGAATTTTTTGGGGAGAGAGGAACCAAATGTGTTTAAAGAGCATTTACTAAAATATTTACACAGCGTTCTGATTGGCCAACAAGAAGACTGGCCCTGATATTGAAACAGTAATCAACAGGAAAATGCATTAAGCCTAGAGACTAACACAGACTTATTTAGTTCTTCTAAAATAAATTATACTCTTTGGTCAAAATATTACAGTAGAAAAAATATAAGGAAAAAAATTATAAGGATTGCTATCTTTAGCTTATTTTAGCTTTAAAAGCAACCTGTACAGATTCAGCTTTTCCTCGCATAGTCACATCATGAGTATCACTCCAGGGCCCATGATTTACTAGCATGTGGGAGGCTGTAAAACGTAGGTCTGCTCATCAGAAATAGGACTTCCATTATATTGAATGAAACTGCATTTAGCTTTCCCTCAGAATCGAGGAAGGTAAAATCTGTATAAAGCCCTATCACATTTTTGTTCAAATTCTTTTCTGTCATTGGATCAATGTAATGCTGTAAAGACTGGCACATGGATGCCACGCTACAGTGAGGCTGTTCATCTGCTGAGAAGTTCTAATGAACGGGTGTACACAGTTCCCCATATGTCCTGGCAATGAGCTCAAACTGTTACTTGAGGAAATGCCACTAAGGATGAGAAGATGCCATGCTTACATTTGTATTTATTAAGTGAGCCTTTTCAGGTCATCTTCTACATTGGAAATGAATATGGATTTTTAACCTCAGGGATGTAAAATAGGACCTATTGGTCATCATGACCACCTGGCCTTTCCCTTGCTGCTGGATGAAAGAGCCTTTCCCAGAAGACGGAATGGAGGCTCAGGCAGAGGAAGGATTTCTTGTATGAAAAGGCAGAGAATTGCTGAAATTGAATATACACGTTATATAATAAGTAGGGAAATTACAAGCTATAGTTTCTGTGCTTTACACTGTGAATAGTTTCAGTTTGCAAAACTGAGGCCCTTTCCCTTCCCTTTTCCCTCTTCATCCTTTCCAAATAGCAATCAAAAGAGAATTTACAGAAAGTATAACCTTGCTACTGCTCTCAAAGCAAGACCATGACGTTAAATGTTCATGAAGAAATAGACACATGCTGTTCTTAGCTCACAGGTATCTCAAGAATAATAGGGCTGGAACTAGTGACTCAAAAGTTGTGGATAAATAATCCCTGTCTCTACAGTGTGTTGATCCATTTTAGATCCTGCAGGATAACAGCAGCTAAGCAGCGATACTAGTATTCCTATAACAACAGGTACAGTAAATATAATTTGATGACAGACACAGTAGGTAACATTCCTCTTCTATTATACCAACGGATTATTTGTTGCTATTAAGGCTGAAGCCCATTCACTGCAATATGATTTAACATAACCCAGAGGGATAAGTAATCAAGAAAAATCAGTATTGATTTTTTTTTATTATTGTTTTTTTCAGTTGTTCTTTTCCACTACTAAACACTGGTCAAAACAGAAACGGTAAGGAAATGCTACCTTGGTGTCCAATAAGATCCATTATCTAAGACATAATTATGCTGGAATAGGCTTTATGAGGTCTTTGCAGTTTTATTCACATGTGGATGCTTTCTGAGTGCTTAAATTTACATACGTCACAAAACAAAACTGCAGAAAATGGCAGATGAGGATTACACAGCACTCACTCTTGCAGCATCTTTTTTTTTCTCCTTCCTCTGCTGTGAAATATTAGACATGCAAACCTATATGACTTATTATTTAAGAGCATTAATTATACTAATCATGAACATGCCTTGAGGAATGCTAAGTGAAATTAGAAAAATAGCAGCAAATCTTTCCAGCTGCTTGTTTTTGAGCCCTTGTGTGGGTGGACTCTGAATTTGCTACTCACATTTTCTACTGCAGGTTGCAGCATAGCCATTTTATGATTAACCTCATTGTTCTTTTTGAGGGTAATTTCATTGTCCAGATACAGGAAGGAAGCTGCATTAAGCCAGGCTCTAAGTGTAGCAAGAAAATAAGTACCGGTATTGCTAATTGATAAATGTTTGACTGTCTGGATTGCAGGCAGGAAACCCTTATAAATACTTTAAAATGAAAGATGTTGCAGCAACCACTTTTTTTTGCAGCAAGTGAACAAGCAACAAGCCTTTGGTGCATTTATTTACCTTTGCCCCTGAAAGCATTTCATTTAACATTGCCTAGTATGAATATTTTTAACCTGTTTGAAAAGATGAGCTTTAAATATGGGTTTAAAACCTTTTAAAATGACTCAGGAACTCTAAGGTGGTAGGAACTACAAAGCTGCCTACTACGATCAACATTTGCGATGGTCTTACCAAAACTAGTGGCTGCAAAGCAGCTGTAGTTCTCCATAATGAGTTCTCCCTGGGGCAGGTGGCATGTCTGGAGCACCCTACTGAAATTCCCAATGAGTTAGGGTAGCAGTACCCTCAGAGAGGGCAGCCCTCAACCTGCCTTAGTGATGGAAGTAGCCTACACCAGTAGGAAAGATGCAATATTTCCTTTTTCACCCTCTACAATGATGCAGATCACAACCAATCTGGGGACATTCTGCAGGGTTAGCTTTTAGCTAGATTTTAGAGTAGGTTTCAAGCTGTACTACAGAACCAGACTATTCTGGTACTTGGGGCATCTTTATGACTATAATGTGACTAATTAATGAACCAGAGCTGCTGCAGCTCCTATTCCTAACGTTGGCTGGCTTGAGCTACATTCCTATGCCCTCCCTTCTTCTGGCAACATGTTTGAGCTGAAATATATGCAGAAAGTAATAGTTGATGGCATTAACCAACAGGTCTGCCACTGACAACATTGCCATTATAAGTGATCCAACAGATAAGCGAAGGACCTAGCAGAGAGTTGAGCTGAGCTCAAACACTAGGTCTGCTAAACCTTTGCTAGATGAGCTTGAGCCTGTCATTTTGGGATGGAGAAGTCAAGGTGCGCAGAAGTGAAGGGCAGGTAAGAATACTCACCTGGCTCACAGAAGTGTGATGCAAGCCTTCCTGGGGATTTGTGAAGAGCTTTGAGAAGCATAATGGAAGGGGCTGGGGAAATATAAGCTGTTATAGTATTTTATTGGTTAGAATGCCATACATTTAAGGAAAATATTTTTCAGTATGTTCACTGCTTGGTCCTGGAAAGAAGTTGTTATGAAGAAGTTAACATTAATCTCCTAAACCATATCGTCTTCCTCCATAAACCCACCTCCCCATACTGAGAATAATGCTGCACCTATTTCAGAAACAGAGTCTGAGCTTTGGGACTGGCAGTGCAAATGCCAGTGGAAGTGCTTCTACTTAAGAAACAATGATTTTTGTCACCCCTGTCAGATTAGGGCACAGACAAGTGCTGTGGTACAGGCAAAGAGAGCATGTTTCAGAAATAAGTGGGAGTTGATAAAAGGTATAACTCTCTCCAGAAAGAATATGTCACCATTACCTCATGCAGAATTTGCATCATTGGATGTTGTTAGCATCCGGGTGCAAAGGGGAAAAAAAACATAAGGTACAGTGAAAGGTGTTACTGGATATAGTAAAAACACATATTCACTCCAGACCTGGTTGAAATTTTCTAAACTTTTTGATAGAGACACAAAGATTTTTGCCCAGCTTTGGTTACACATTCACAATAAAAGCTCTTACTCAAAACATGTTAATATTTCAATACAGCACAATATTTAAGTACTAACTTTAAGTATGTTAACAAGTCCATTTGACCCCCTCTTGCACAATAAAATGGCTTGTGATGGGCAGGAAAAAACTACCACGTAGGCCTGATTCAAGAAAGCATGAGCAAGCCTCATGCTTTCCTGCTGCTCCGAATAAAGATGAACTTAAGGGCTATGTCCAGATGAATGCAGCCATGTGATATGTGGCACCGCAAACCTGTAGGCAGCGCCACATACTGTACATTCAGTTGTTCTCTGCATTGCAAGGAAGCAGCATGGTGGAGTTTTTTTGACCCCCATCCAGGGGTCAAAAAAACCTGTGGAGAAAAAAGCACAGCTGTGCATGCACAGGCAGCATTCAAAAGCTGAGCTGGGCCACCCAGAGCCATGCTGCAGATGCCGGCCAGGCTCCGCACAGCAGAATCGCTGCTGCTTCAGCCCCGGGATGCCCCCAGGTAAGGCTGATGGGGCTAGCTCCAGCCCCATCCAGGTAAGGCTGATGGG